ATGTGTCACAACACTTTCTTTTGGATTAAAGTAGCATCATCATAACAGGGACATTTGTGTGCTGTGTTTTAGAGAACAGAGACGCAAATTCAAGTTTCAAAACAATTCAGGAACAGGAAAACCACACCCTTACAAAGCAGACACTCACAGCTTTATCTTTGTGGTTATTTGGGGTTTTTTGCTTGGCTTTCAGAAAGCAGTTAGGCCATTTTATAGCGTGCAATCATTTCTGAAAAATATTGATTGTGAATACATTATTGCTTATCAAAAAGCGAAATAAATTAAATGCTTTTGCTAACATAAAAAACAGGGCCACCTTTGGGCTGCCTTTCCAAAAAGTTTGTAGCTTGAAAGAGAAAAAGATCTTTAGACTGATGTTCATATTAAATTCTGGTAATAATGAGCTTTATGTGAAGATGGACTGTTATTCTTATGTAGACGGTATCTTTTGTCAGGACAAGAATATGTAGGAATTAAATGCTACCCACATACCACGTACATGGTGCTGTGAGAGTGCTTTGAATGCAGTAGTGAATAAAACAAAACATGACTAGTAACAGTGTTTGATGGCTGGAATATATTTTCATGCCTTTGGACCAGATTCATCTTTAGTTTAACACACTGATGTGGATGTAGCGACACAAGGAGTAAACATAGGCCCTATTAAGTTTCACAGCTGTCTTCTATTACTTCCACCTTCCCTCTTCCACCTAATAAGTCAGAAAAAACAAATGGAACAATACAAGGTAAGCATATCTGGCATTTTGGCATTCACTGAGAGAAACATAAACTATACATGCTGGATCAGTATATAAAAACAGCATAGATTAGTCATTGTGTATTTCCAGTATTGCCCTGGCCCTGTAGTTCTGTTCAGTGAGAGAGAGAGGGTTCTTGGAAGACTGTGTGACATCTACTCATACACACAACATTTTGAAAGTCTTCTGCAGTGTGTATGGGGCAGAGATTGAAGCTGCGTACAGTTTTTTTTTAATAGGGAAAGGAAATATATGAGTATAGCTCTTTGATCTCAGAGAATTAAAAAAATCCAGTACTCACAAGACATCAGTAACACATGATCTTTATTCCCTAAGGACTCAGTTCAGCAAGGTTCTTAAGCATATGCCTAACTTTAAGCACATGGATGCTCCCACTGATTTCTCTAACCACCTTACAATTTCTTAATGAGGAAGCCTGTTAATTTTTGTACCTGATGTTCTTCTTTTTCCTGTGGTTGAAGTGTGTATTCCTCTCTGTCCCTTCCTCCTTCATTACTGAAAATCCTGAATCTTAGCAATTTTCACAAAAATGTAATATACAATTATATATATATATATATATATATATATATTTACAAAGGTTTCACTCCTTTGTGTGTGAAACCTTTGTAAAATGGTTCTCTTTTTGGGTCACAGACACCAAAAAACCACAGAGGAAATTATCTGTACAGCCGCTGTGGTTTTTCAGTTTCCTTTCTTTCTTGACATAAACAATCAGAAAAGTTAAATCATGAGAAATTACAGAACAGACTTCCTGTCATCTTAGTGTACGCTGTGCATACACCATAAATTAGAGTTAAGAATCCACACATGTGATCGTTTGTCTGTGTCCTTTAAATGAATAAAAATTTTATTCATCTTGGCATGAACTTCTTAAGAATTATTACTGGTTGAATCATGCAAGGTGTTTTTTTAAACTCTCTTGCCCAAGATAAAAAGCATAATTAAATACTTCTAGATATCTGCCAACAGATACTTATGAAAAGAATAGTTGCATACTTTTTATTTCTTTAAGAATAAGGAAGATGGAACCCAGTCCTGCAATCCTTAATAAGCCAAAGTAAGGAGACCACTGACTTCAACAGGATTTTAACCTCTGAAAAGAGTGTGGGAGCAGGTCCCATTATTACTAACTGAAGTGAACATAAATAAAGACTCTGATCCTGCAATTAGATCTCTCAAGTGAACTCTTATGTGCACCCAGATTCCTACTAAAGTCAACAAGGCTCTGCATGCGTGCAGTATTGCCAACTCTCATGACATTTCAGGGGTGTAAGCAATGTTTTTTTTTAGTGTACATGGGGGAGATAGGGCTAAATAACCTCAGTATTTCCTTTATTTATTGATTAATGCAATTACTAATTTTGTGGGGGAGGCTAAATCCCCCAGTTGTGTATTCCCATGTATTTGGTATTTTTCAACTTTGGAATCATGTGACTATACCAGAATTTCAGCTTTTATTAAAAGTATAAAGCAAATCTCTAGCCCTCATGGTTGCAGAGATGAGCTTGAAAATGTGACCTATAAAGGTTCAAAATGTAAATAAAAAGAACTCCAACTATATTATTTTAAAAAATCTCATGATTTTTAAGTAAATCTCAATTTTTGGAGTCCCCAATTCTTGATTTTTGAACACTTGGGGTTGGTAATATTCTGGGTGCAAGGCTTTGCTTATGCTGAACTAGTTGGAGGATTGGGGCCATAGTTATTTGCCCAAAGAGTTTGAAAACTCTTTGGAAAATAAAGGACATTTTTCAGGAAATCTTTTTATTGTTGTAACTTTTTAAAGCATAATGTTCTCACTGTGTTTGGTAAGGAGAAGTTAAAAAGCACTCTAGCTGATTTAAAAGTAACTATTAAAATTATCTTTCTCATTTTACTTAAAGAGGGGCTAAGCCACAAACTTAGATATAAATTCTTTGGCCCACATCTAGCCAGGAAGAGGGAGAGGCTGTAGGAAGCCAAAAGCAGTGAGAAAATGCAAAGGTTCTTCTCAAGGAAATGATATTTTGAAATGGCAGGAGCAGCTTCTCTGCACTCTGGAAAATTTAATAACATTTTAAAACGAAAAGTTTATGTAAAAAATTCTGCATCCGCTGGTGTTTATCTGGAATCTTGTGCTATCATGACTTAACATTGGGGCAGCTATTAAAACACCACTAAGTGGACCATAGACCCAACAGATACTGACAGAAGCAGACACTGTATAAAGAAATATTTAGATAACTAGCACCAACCTTGTTTAAAAAATCCCAGACCTATGAGCAATCAGGACAAAACTGGTTATCTTCTCCCCCAGAATGGCAGGAATACATAGATCAACTCTTATCCATACCCAGTCTCTCTCCTGCATGTCCTAGAGAATCATGCCCCCTAGGTCTCTTGATGAATACAATAAAATATGCTCTATGCATTTGTAATATTTTGGCATCCAGTTTTCTATAAAACAATAAAAAGTAACTGACTACATCTTCCTGTTTGTTCTGTTCTCTCTTTGCTTGATAGTTTCTTTTGTTTATTTGCCTCTCTTTCCCCCCAGTGTTTTTCAGCATCTGAATTCATTACGGTAATTTTTCTTTTTCTTCCCCATTCTGTTCTCTTCCTCAGCTATCCACCTCATCTCTCTTTGTCCCTCCACAGAACTCTCTTCTTGCCCTCTGCTCACTCTAACTTCGCGAGTCCCTCTTTCTCCCACCCTATTCCCGTTTTTCATTCTTTAATCTCTGTTTCCATCTGATTCTTTCCATCTCCCTGAATCTCATGGGTTGTCTTCCCTTCTTTGGGGCCACTCTCCTTTTTTCCCATACTAAGTTTCTGCCCCCGCTTTTCCGCACTGTGGAGTTTTCCGGTTCTTTCCTGTTGTGATCACACCCTTTCCTTCCTGCCCCTCTCTGTGTGTACTTGTAGACAATGTAAATTGAATATGTGGTTATAAAACATGACCTTTCTTCTTAACCAGAGTGTAAATGTATCAAAAGAAATATAAAGCAAAGCTCAAAGTTATTTCAGGTAATTAATAAAACCATAAGTGTAGGTTTGCACTTCTGTCCTTGTGCAATGCTGTTCTAAAGTCAACAGACCTGGCCAGTGGATCATTCCTCCTCTCCAACACAGGGAATGTTTGAGGGGAAAAAGAAAAAAAAGAAGAAAAAAAAAGAGTATGGCAAGGACATCGTACGCCCCAGTAATCTCCAACTGCCAGAAGAGCCCCTGAGGGTGACTAGCAGCCAGTATAGTGTAGAACAGCCTGGTAGCTACCCTAATCTATGCTAGGGAGTAGGCTGGCACAGAGTTTGCCCCAGGATCAGGGAAGGCTACAATGGTCTCCCTCAACAGAACTATGCCCAGCGCTACTTGAGCATAGCTGAGAACCTGTTTCTCCATGTTGAATTCTGACGACTCCTAAATTTGTATAAATTATTTTCTGGAAATTTTTTTCAAAAGAAAATATATTTCAGTGCAGTACCCACAAAGTTTGGTAAATGTAAAAGAGAGATTAAAAGAATGATTAAATATTTGCCTTGTTTAAGTTTTTGGGGACATTATTTAAGGTTGGAGGGATTGGTAAAGTGGTCAAGAGTTTGAGATTCCATTTGAAGCTGTCCATGAGAAAATACAATAGAAAAAATATTGTGAACTGATTCTCTACTCCCTTGAACCTGTGTAGTCATCTACACCTAGCCAAATGGGTGCAAAATGCGTGTAAAATGCTGCCATACTGATCTGGAAGTGCTTTAAACCCATTTTGCACTCACTTTGCCCAGGAAAATGACTTTGCAAGGTACAAGGCTCTGTGTAATATCTTTGCATCTCTCTAGTATTTGAAAAGTAAAATAAACTCCATAGTAAAAATCAAATCAGACCACAAATTACAGAAAATGGAAATAATACAAAGCGACAGCAAATTTTTTTTAACTAAGCCTGGATAAATATTTTTTCCTTCCCAACTCTTACAGCAAGTTTAGTGGTGCTTGATGCCGAATAACAGACCTATTAACCTGGTCTGTTTTGAACTCCCCAGAATGTTTCCATAACTCCTGTGAAGCTGACTCCACCCCTGAGGGCAGAGGGTGATCCTCTTCCTTTGTGCTAGGTTGGCCCTGTTTTATTCTCTCTATAATGAACTCCATCCCTGCCCCACTCTGTTCCATGCATTTCAAACCATCCCCCTAGCCCCTGATAGGCTTGTGTGGTCTAGGAAACTCTTTGCTCCAGTCACCAGTGTCTGCAGTCCAAACCAAAGCGCTGGAAAGAATGGGGAGAGGAGAAGGGCTGCGAGCTGCTGTCAGCGAGACTCCTGCCCAGAGACAAGCTGGGGAAGGGGGTGCTCAGTGTCAGGGCTTTGATTTTTCACTCCTGTGCGGTGCCATGTGGCCTGGGGGGAGGGAGAGCTGGGGAAGCGTGACTGAGAAGCAAGCTCCCCCCTCCAGGCAGGCCGGAGAATGGGCAGTCCCAGCAGTCAGACATGTCAGTGGTTGCTTGGCGAGAAAGGCATGTAGCTGCTGCTGGGAGAAGGGGAAAGGAAGCGGAGCTGCCATTGTAGGGGCAGACACTGGGGAGCTGCACTAACTCCCCCCACCCCGCAGCACGGAGCCGCTCCTGGCCAGGGGAGCGCCAGCCTCCCCCGCGGAGGAGGAATATTGAGAAGCTGGACTTTTATCAAACTTGCCTCCGCTCTCCCCTCCTCTCTCTTTCCCTGCCCCCTCCTCCTTCTCTCCTCCCCCCTCTCTCTGGGCGATGTTTATTTGGGCAGCTGTGTGAGGCGCAGGAGGAGGTGGGGAATTTCTCTCTCCCCGGCTGGAGTGGTTAGAGAGAGGCACACACTACTCTGGGGAGGGAAGGAAACAAAATGTCTGCCAGAGCTGCGGCTGCTTCTTCCAAGGTAAGAGACTCGTCCCAGCACCCCAGGGGAGCAGCACCCTCTCTCCCAACTTCCCCCCACCCCCGCCCTTGGCTTGGCGGTGCTTGTGCTCTAAAGCCAGCTCCTCGGCCCGCGAGGAGCGCCCCGTGTCGGTTGCTGTCCGTTGGCCGCTGCCTGTGTCACGCTCCCCCAGCCTCTCGTGGGAGGCTGTTGTCCACTCCGGTGCGGGGGGGGGGGAGCGTTCAGCCCATTTCACCCCGGGAAGTGGGGCGGGGGGGGGGAGTTTCTTGAACTGCTGTTCCTGACAGTTAGTGCCCTCCCCACTGTGGTGGGGGAGCCTCAGGTAGCACGAAGCTCCTCGTCCCCCTCCCCTGTTGGGTGCTGCTGACTGGGAGGATTGGTGCCGGCCTCTTGCGGGTTCCCCCAGGGGCTCCCATCTGTTGGGTGCGTGGCTGGCGCTCAGAGAGAGCGCAGAGGAGGGGGAGAACCAGGCTGGCCTGGGGGGTTTCCCGTTCGCTTTGTGATGGTGCCGGTTTGAGCCCTTCAGGACCGGGAGGGCAAGCGAAGTTGCCTTTGGAAACGGCTCGGTGGGTCGTTAACTCAGGTGAGGGTCCGCCCTAGTTCCTCCCTGTTGTTTTATGGCCCGAGCTCTTTGCCGAGGTTTTTTTTAGATGCTACACTTGTGGCTGGTTTAAAAAAAAAAAAGTTGAAGCAACTGTTTGGGCGCAGGGAAAAGGGGGGTTCGAAGCCCCTGGGGAGGCCGGGCAGATGTGCTTTGAGCAGGGTGGGGAGTGGAAATGTGTCCGAGGCGTGGGGTGTTTGTTTTGTATTTGGGCCGTCTTTGTGCTTAGAAAGGAGATGCCCTTGTGGGAGGGACACGAGACGTGAAGGGAAAAAAAAAGATGTAGCTAGATTTAAAGCCCCGTAATACAGGATTTCTCGGTCGCCGTCTCTGAATCAGCTGGGGAAGTTGCTGTTGACTTATGAGTTTGGGTGGTGCTAGTCCTTGAGAAACTTCTCCACCTGATCTGTAGGTGTTTAAGGTGCAGGTGCATGTTGTGGGGTGTGTACTTCGACCTCTCTCAGCGATGCTGCTGCTATGTGTAATCGCTTCATTTCCTGAGGGGGAAAGAGGTGGAGTTAACCTGTTGAATGTTTGTATTTATTCCTACGTGTGAAATGAAAGGTTTGATTTGAAAGTGCTTCAGTGTTTAAAAGCTAACTAATTTTAGCTATAAATGATCCCAGACTGGGCCCGTCGTCTTATTCGAATAAGTTCTATGATGCGTTGACTAATATTGCTCGGTTTGAAATGTTTGCTGTCAAGTGAAACTATGCAGTTTCGGTCTGATGTCATTTGTTGTATGCACATACACCTAGTAGTGTAAAAAAAAAAAAAATCCGAGGAGTACTTGTGGCACCTTAGAAGCTAACAAATTTATGAACATGATGTTCTCTGTGTATATATATCTTCCTACTGTATTTCCCACTGCATGCATCCGATAAAGTGGATTTTAGCCCACAAAAGCTTATGCCCAAATAAATTTGTTTGTCTCTAAGGTGCCACAAGTACTCCTCGGGTTTTTTTTTTTTTGCTGACAACTGGTAGTGCTCCTCTTCAGGATGAGGCACTAATGTGGTAAGGTTTGCCCTTTGCTATGTAAGATCTGAGCATTAGAAGTACCTATTACTGGAAGATGATAATATGATACAAACTAATTGTAAACCATAGTTAACCAGACTAATTGCATACAATTTGCATACATTAGGATTTCTTAATTTTATTGACTAGTTAAATTTTATTCAAAATGCCCAAATGTGACTATTGTTCACATACAAAGTTATATCAACATTTTTATTTAAAATTACATTTCAAACGTAAGTGCAGTAATTTAAAATGCATTTAAAGAGATGTACACTAATGTAGCTTTACACTATAAGTGCTTTATATTTGTTTGGTTTTTAGTAATCCTTTTTGAAAATGTTTTGTTAAAACTTCCAAATTAAGACATAATTAATTCTTGAATAAAAGTTTAAAAGAACAAAATTATAGTGTGCCTTAGATTTCTGTATCAGATCCATTTCTGTACTGGATAACAAACATATCCAGGGAATGTTAATAGTGCGGTTGCTACCTTGCAAGCATATTAGATGAGGGACGGTGCCATAGCACCATGGAAATACAGTGTGAGGGACAGTGCCAGTCCCTTTAGACTTTAAACTTTACCCATTGTTATGTAGTAGGGAATGTTGTCCTGAGTTCTTCCTGTTTTCGTTTTAAGCCTTGATAGTACTGATAGGAAATAGCCACTGTTCATGGAAGAAAATATATGCTAAGCTTGGTCCACACACAGACTTTCACCAAAATGATGAAATTGGTTTTAAGTTCACACCTTGTATTATTTTTGGTGAAAGTCTGTATGTGAATACTTATTCTGAAATACTTGATTTTTGCTAAGTCAAACTGGTTGCAACATTTAGTAATTTTGGTGCAAGTTTGTGTGTGGACCTATACTATAGGTTCTCTCTGCTTACTGTAGCAGCAGTTAACTGAAACAACTTCCAGGCCTTGGTTCTATACCAAATTGATGATGGGCGTGTGCATGTGTGTGTATTCATGGCTTGTACAAATGGATTTAAACAAAAAAGATATAATATTAATTGCTTTTTTCTCTAGGTCAACAATTCAAGAACTTTTATTTTCAAATTTGTAAGGGTAAGCTATAAAAATAGCTTTCTCAAAAGGACACATTCAAGAAATCTTGTATAATTTACTTTTAACTTTACCTTTATTTTTTCTTTATCACAGAAGTTGTGGCTTTCTAATGTCGGTGGGAGAATGAATATTTACAGCTCACTTGAATTTCTGTATAAAACTATTAACACTCATAGCATGCTGGTATTCCTGCTTAAGTGATTAGCCCCCAGACTGATCTTTGTGTGGTGACCTATGCCCCATGCCACTTCTCTAATCCATAGTTGGAGACATAAGGAAGACAAATTTAGCTTTAAGTATTTCAGAAATGTTAGATCTTTGGAGGACTAATGCCTTTCATATCCCAGTTTCAAATTTAGACTTTTATCAGTGGTAAAGAAAGGATACTTAATTTCTCACATTTGGACCAGAGTGTAGTAAGAATAACAGCTGTAATTTTTCCAAGTTTTTGTAAGCAGTTGGAAAAGCTTTGTTTAGCATACTCTAATCTGTTGAATATTTTTCTGCGTAACTCAATATTTATTTGGCATACTGACTAATACTTCCTTAAAAAAAGTTTTGACCACATATATAATGTCTTAGGTAGCATACTTCTAGGAGTTTTGATTATTGTTCATTTTATGTTAGTTTGCCCTGTGTTGGATGGTCCTTTGTTAAATTGCTCAGATTTGGTTCTCTAATTCTTTTTCACGTTAGGCTAAGAACATACATTCTGATATTTCAACTCTTGAACAGTGAAATTTCTTGCTCTACCTATTAGTATACTGTAGATTCTCTCTAATTTTCCTCGCCATTTTCTCCATTACAGTCTAATCTTATGGTAAATTTGATTGCAAAATGTAGGTAGCATAATCTCTTCTGATATGCTTTTGTGACTTTAATACTAATGAGAACTCGGGTTATGGTGATGACATGTTAAGCTTTTTACCTTTAGGTTGCAAGTTCAAATCCAGCCCAAGCTGGTAGTGAACAAAGTTTCTGATAGCTGTTGTTTGGCTTATGAGAAATACTTTTGATATCCATTCAGTTCTTATTGGGTGAGTATACTCATCATGAAAACAACCAACACTGCTGGCATTAAATAGTCTCAGTTCTGTGGCTGCCACTAAAGTTATGATGCTGTTGCCTTTTGATATACCTTTATGGTAATTAAATAGAGGACTTTCAAGCTGGCGTCTTTCATCACTGCTAATTTCATGTTTCAGAGTAACAGCCGTGTTAGTCTATATTCGCAAAAAGAAAAGGAGCACTTGTGGCACCTTAGAGACTAATCTAAGGTGCCACAAGTGCTCCTTTTCTTTTTGCTAATTTCATATGTGCTGTAGCCCCCCCCCCGAGTTTCACAAAAAAGGGTATTTTCCAAGAACAAATTGATGAGAACAAGCCCCTGTGTGTAAAAACACAGGGTGGTAATTGAGTCTTCTGTAATAATTTGATTTCCAGTATGTTTTACTTTCTACCCTTTAAGCCCATATTTAATATCCTTCCCTCCCAGCCCCCCCCAAAAAGCTGCTTAAAATGGAATTAGTGCTGTGTTTAACAAAACTTGCAATAATCATTACCCTTTTTAGATGATCCTGAGGAATCCAAGCTGCACACTTTCTGGTTTCTCTGCCTGAGGGGATGACATCGCACTTACTGTAAATATAAAAAGAAAAGGAGTACTTGTGGCACCTTAGAGACTAACAAATCTTCTTTTTATGGATACAGACTAACACGGCTGCTACTCTGAAACTGTAAATATAAGTCACTGTTCCATTCCAAAACCTGACTTTCAACACCCATATATTTGTTTCCTCTTGGAAACTTGCATGCAAGCCTTTAAAGGGTACTATCAACTTACAATAAATTCTTGTATGAATTCTTTAGCTAATGTTACAAATACCACCGAATATTAGTAAATGTAAGTGAAAGATTGGAGTGAGGAGCAGAAATTTCTATAGGCTTTTTCCATTTTACTTGTGGATTTGAGAGCACACTTCCTGTAGTGTCAGAAGAATCCTCTGTTGTTGCAATATGTAAAGAACCTTACAGACAAACAAGGGGGAGAGACATATGTAGAAAATAGATTTGTAAAAATCACAAAAACTGTCGGGGACTTGAGAATGTCTGTCATACCCAGTCCTATTTTAAACACCTTTTGACTATAAAGAAAAACAGATTTCAGATTTGATAATGTCCTTTTAACTTGCGTTGAAAACTTTTGTTACTTTTTCAACCTTTTAAGTTGAAGTAAATATCTTTGGTAAGTTACCTTTTAAAGTTCTTTTTAAAAACCACAAATCTCCGACTGTTTGTCTTCTGT